AAAAAAAAAAAAAAAAGAGAAAAAAAAAAGCTGTGTTCTGTTTACACAGTTACCAGGTTTTTGCGTTGGTTCGTGTGTGGGCGGTGCTTGTGATTGTTAATGACGGGCACTGCACACTACTGGGTGAATAAGTAAAACTGGTTTTATTTTCAGAGAAAGTATTTGACAGTCTACCAAGAACCTGTAAAATGTGTATCTCCTTTGACCCATTAATTTCATTTCTCAAGAGTTTACCCTTTAAAAAATCAAATATTTATGTATAAGGGGCCACTTGAATATTATTTGTGTTTGGTTTTTTGTTTGCTTTTTGAGACGGAGTCTCGTTCTGTTGCCCAAGCTGGAGTGCAGTGGCGTGATCTTGGCTCACTGCAACCTCTGTCTCCCAGGTTCAAGTGATTCTCCTGCCTCGGCCTCCCAAGTAGCTGGGATTACACACGCCCACCACCATGCCTGGCTAATTTTTTTTTTTTTTTTTTTTTTTTTTTTTTTTAAAGAGGGAATCTCGCTCTGTTGCCCAGGCTAGAGTACAGTGATTCTGTGTTCACTGCAACCTCTACCTCCCGGGTTGAAGCAGTTCTCCTGCCTCAGCCTTCCCAGTAGCCCAGCTACCAATTTTTTTTTCTTTTTGGCAGGGTCTCACTTTGTCGCCCAGGCAGGAGTGCAGTGGCACAGCCTTAGCTCCCTGCAGCCTCTCACCTCAGCCTGTTGAGTAGCTGGGACTACAGGCACCCACAACCATGTCCAGCTAGTTTTTGTATTGTTTTTCAGAGATGGGGTTTTACCATGTTACCCAGGCTGGTCTCAGATTGCTGGCATCAAGCTTTCTGTGCGCCTCAGCCTCCCAGAGTGCTGAGAGTACAGGTGTGAGCCACCGCAGCAGGCCCAAAATGTTTGTTTATTTACAGACAGTCTGGCTCTGTCGCCCAGGCTACAGTACAATGGTGCAATCTCAGCTCACTGCAACCTCTGCCTCCCAGGTTCAGGCAATTCTCCTGCCTCAGTCTTCCAAGTGGCTGGGACTACAGGCGCCCGTCACCACGCCCAGCTAATTCTTGAATTTTTAGTGGAAATGGAGTTTTGCCGTGGTGGCCAGGTTGGTCTCGAACTCCTGGCCTCAAATGATCCACCTGCCTTGGCCTCCCAAAGTCCTGGGGTTACAGGCATGAGCCACTGTACCCAGACCCAGCCCAAAGTTTGTAAGTGAACTTTTATGGATTGGTAATCACTAAAAATAAAGATTTTATGGGTTGAGCAGATACCTTCATATGAGGCATTTACATTTTGCTCTTTAGTTAGTATTGAAATTAAACTGCTTTATTATCAGTCCTGGGGTTGTGAGTTGGGGGTTGCTTTTGCTTCAGAGTGTATTGGGTTTATGGAGTGCTTCAGAGGCACAGACCCCTCCTCGAGGCAGATGCGGGTCTGGGCTGCACTGCATGCTCTGCCTCTGTCCATCTCCCTGCCCGCCAGGTATGGGCAAGGAAGTCTGCTGGCTTCTCGGGACAGATCTCTGTGGTCAGTACCTCGCTGAGCACCACGTGGCCCGCTGCGCTCCGTAGAGCTTGACTTTCACGTTTCGGTCTGTGATTTGCTTCCTGTTGATCGTCTCTGCTCACGTATAGTCACCACTTACAGCCCTTCTGGTGTCAGGAAGCAGCTGTTCTCAGGGCCTCCTTTCCCTCACCTGCCGCTCTCACTCCTGACATCTGAGATCTGCACTGCTCTGGAGGAGGCCGGTCGTGGTCTCAGCTCTTCATGGTGATTAAATTAGGATATTCTCTAGCTGCAATTAATCAGTCTCTTTAAACTTAAAGCAGTGAACAAAGAAAATGTTTAAGGCTCTGGCTGATTAATTCACTAATTTTTATTTTTTTTTTTTTTTTTTTTGAGATGGAGTCTGTCATCAGGCTGGAGTGCAGTGGTGCGTCTTGGCTCACTGCCACCTCTGCCTCCTGGGTTCAAGCGATTCCCCTGCCTCAGCCTCCCAAGTAGTTGGGACTACAGGCTCATGCCACTATGCCTGGCTCATTTTTTGTATTTTAGTAGAGACAGAGTTTCACCATGTTGGTCAGGATGGTCTCCATCTCCTGACCTCGTGAGCACCCTCCTCAGCCTCCCAAAGTACTGGAATTACAGATGTGAGCCACCGCGCCCGGCCTTTTTTTTTTTTTTTTTTTTTTTT